TTTAAATTTTCTTGATTATTATCAACATTTAATTTGTATTTACAAATTAGATCTTTTCAATTTCTATCTTTGAATTTGAAGTAGTTTAAATTTTGTTGGTTATTATCATTAATAAATTTTTATTAAATTAATTAATTATTTATATTTCTATTTTCTTTGGCAAACATATGAATGGGACCTTGCGATTCATAAAAAGGTGAAAAATTTGTGGAAAAAGATTGCGAAGGTCAGGTTCAATCATGCATTTAGTGAGTTGAAAGTTAAGCGTGCAAAGAAAAACTTTCAAGTTAAGCCGCCAGATATGAATCAATAGTTATGGAAAAGGCTTGTTCATTTATGGACTGAGGTAATGGAGTAAATTCATGTGTTTATCTTTTTTTAATTGTAATGCTTAATGTTTTTTATCATATTACTAACAAAATATGTGTGTTCACCAATTTTGCAGGACGAGGGTCATTTGAGAAGGTCAAATTCTGCAAGGGCAACTCGGGCACAAGGACTAAGGGTGACACACACCAACGGTTCAATGGTCGTCAACGCTTACAGAAAGGAAATGGTATAAAAATTAATATATTTTTAATGAATAATTAATGCACTATGATTTATAAATTATTTTATATTAGTTTTAATATTTGGTCTTCTTTTTTTCTTTACAGCAACAGACAAACCCCAAAGGTCATCTACTAACATTTCTTAAGCTCTACACCATTAGAAGGTAGCACAAACTAAAAGGAAAAGACCAACTGCCTATGTATTGTAATGATGAGGCTCAAGAAATTAGCGTAAATATTTAATAATATAAATTATCAAATTTAAACTTGAATTTTGAATTGTTGAAGTTTATTGAATAAGAGAAGCTAATGATTATATAATTCTTGTTGAATGTGGGTGTGTATTTGAGGTAATTCAAATGCGATCCTGATGTAAATCCAGGTTTGACTTTAAAGAATTCAATTCAAGTTCTCATTGGACCAATTATGAGGGCTCGAGCTAAAAAGTTCAAGGAAGCACTTAACGAGCTGATTCGAGAAATATGGACTCAAGCAAATTCGTGGAGGCCCATTGAGGGAAGTCCATGTGAGCCTCAGAATTACATCAACCTAATCCAAGTTCTAGAAGACTTTGTCAAAGCCAAGCCTAATCTTTGCAAGTAATGGTCATGAAATTTGGGCATGAACTCAACAATCATTCTGGCTCAAGTTTATTACCTTTTTGGGTTTTGGCTTGCATGCCAAGCTTTTTTCTTGGGCTGAATTACACAGTTTGTGTCAAATCTGTTGCAGTTGGCCGCAAACTATTATTTCACAATGTTCTTAGGTTATTTTAGCTTATTTTTATGTTTGTTGTGTTATTTGGGCTAAACATTAATTTAGTTGAAGCCCAAATTCGTGGTTATTAGGGTTAGGACTTGGTTTGTTAGTTTCTTATTCTGGTTAGGATTAGTTTTAGCTATTTATAGGGCTACAACCCTAATTGTAAAACTGATCATTATTCATCAACATTGTGAGAACGAATTCTCTATGGTTCTTTGAACAACTTTTCAAACTTATCGAAATTATTTGTGGTGTTCATCCTTGACTTATCAATTAACCCTTCCATAGTTGATTGCGGCATCTTCTCCGTACCAAGGTTCTTACCTCATCATACGTAACAAGTTGCGGTTCCATCCTCTTGAACTTGTCTTAAAAAGGGTCTTGGTACCTTGTCTTGTTTACAGTTTTAGTCACAGGTTTGCTTAGTTCGTATCAACTTGGTATCAGAGCCAGGTTTAAAAAAAAAAAAAATTCAGTGTCATTCTTCTCTTTCTTATTTTGCTTTTTTAAATTTGTGTTGTTGGTTTACAAAAGAAACAGAGAGGAAAGCACGAAAATTTTTTTAAAAAAGGAGGAAGAAGTTGTACAAAAAAAAGGGGAATAAAAAAGAGAAGAAGTGTACAAAAAAAAAAAAA